CCCAGCCATCATACCCTACATTATGTGGACATCGTTTGTGCAGAGGTTCACACTATGTATACCTGTATGCCACGCATGCACAGCACCGTCTACAGACACAGGAGACAAGTTATTTACTGAAGAATTGTGGGATCTGTTGCTGGGCGGTTTACAGGTTTTGTAGATTTTCCTGGATTAATTTTTCTCTTCTTTACTGATTCATTATTGGTTACGTGCATAACAATAAGAAATCATCAATCCCTCTCTCAGAAATGTTTTGAGTTTGTAAATTCTGGGTTCACAATTTGAACAGAAATACCAATGCAGTGAACCATGTCTTCCCTAGATGACTTCACTGCAGCAGCGCCCTCGGTTGTCTGAGAAAACATGGATAATTTTGATTGTTTAAAAGTGGCATTTTTCAACGGATTTACCCAAATAAGAGTGTGTAAGGGTTTTCATACATTGAAGAAAAGTGCAGAGATGCAGAATAAAATGTGTCGACGAAAAATTCATTTCAGCTTCACTTTAAGTATTGTGCGTGCTCGAAGGGGCGTGGTGGAGTGGGATTCTAGCTGCATAGGTATTGAGGATATAAGGCGGGAACTGTCTCTGGACGCGGTAGGTGGACCTGAGGCTGCTCTTCCTTGCGTGTCAGTTTGTGTATACGACCTAGAGAATGGAGGGTACTTGGGGTATAGGAGACCCATGGGGCAGATTATGATGGGGGAAGTGTCTATGGGTATAGGAGACCCATTGGACAAATGGGGCGCCAGATGTCACTGGTACCGATGTGCCGATTGTCTCGGGGGAATGCTTGTGTTTGATTATCTCGATGGCCTCGCGTATACGTCGGGGTACCATGCTCGATACTGGTGATGAGTTGTGCTTGATGCTACTGGATGATCTTGGGATGATAAAACTAATAAAACTAGCGCTTTTGGAGGTAGCGATCCGTGTGAGTTGATTTGCGGTATAAAATGCGGGCGAGGGTGTCATCGCATCGCCTGGACTCATCCACATCCAAGAAGGAGCTCGTGCCGTCTCTTACTTGATCCTTGGTGAACTGGCATTAACTCCGTTGAGGTGTTCCAGGAAGGCCCCTAGTTTGTCTTGACTGTGATGCCATATGACAAACGTATCCTCGACATGTCTGAGCCATACTCTCAGGCGGAGATCCGCTGTTGTAATGGTTGTTTGTTCGAATTGGTCCAAGATGTCGGCAAGAACCAGGATATAGTTGATCCAATAGAGGTTCCTATGGTATTCAAATAACTTGTCACACCAATGGAAGCCCCTGGATGCTGTGCAAGTGATGAATAGGTTTTAGATCTGAGCTGGGGTGGTCTGTTCGATCCAGGCATTCTCGTGAAATGTAGCAGGCGTTTGTGGAAGGGACACCACGTCGAAGCTGACCATGATGTCGTTGGGTTGTAGGGTTAAGGCTCTGACGATTGTCGCGAACTGTTCAAAGTTCTTGATAGAGTGTTCGGTGTTGCCGATCATTGGATGCAGGATCTTGGCGAGGTGCTTGGCGATGTAGCAGATGGGAGCTCCCCTGGATGCTACAATGGGACGTAGGGTAATATCTGGCTTATGGACCTTGAGTTGAATAAAGAAGCAGGGGGATCTTCAGCTGAAAGCTCGAAGTTGAAGGTACAGGGCCATGGAAATATTTCCAGACCGTTGTAAGGCGAGTAGCTTGGTATTTATTCTCTTCTGTAAGGAGGGAGTGGGGTCCTCACGTAGGGGACAGTGTGAGCCCGACTTAAGGATTTACCACACCTTGCAGTTGTAGTCATTCCTTTCCATGAGGACTGTTGTGTTCCTTTTGTCAGCAGCCAAGATGTGGATTTAGTTATCTTGACGCAGACTGTTGAGGGCTGAGTGTTCTTGCGTGAGGCTTAGCAGGCTTGAGGTTTTTTGAGGGCTTGCTGATTTGTAGTCGGACGTCAACTGCGACAAGTTTGGCTAAAAGGCGTAGGGCTGCCTCGGTGGCTTGGATTACTTCTTTCACGGGCAAAGTCGACGGACAGAGCACTCACTGTCCGAAACGTAGAGTACCGGTTCTTTTCAGAACCACACATACTCACAAAAGAGATAATCCACATGATATTTAACTAAGTTGAAAATTTGTGTCACATACCTCGATTTGAACTTGTCAATGGGAAAAAAGCATCTAGGATACACCTTCAACTAAAGCCCTAAATTTACCTGTAAAGTTGGAAGGATCAGACTTGGAGCTGTCTTGGCCAAAAATTTGTCTTTGCCGTTTTCCTGCTGAGAGAAAAATACAACACGTACCTGTATTGATCTATGCTGAATTATGTACGAGGAAGCCGTCCCGGGTTGCCTGAACTATTCAAGGGGGGCTACAGGAACGTAGAGTGCTTGATATTGGTCCTTGTGCTATTCTTGATCTCATTGTACTGCAGAGTCGGCGAACAACCTTAATTTAATTATTTCAAATACTATAACGCAATGTAGTGTAGAAACCGCTTTTTGAATTTTAAGTGCACCAAAGTTGGTTCCCAGCTGCTAGATATGTCTGTTTGAATAATTATTACAGTGTACCAGTTTAGCCTAGCAGTCCCTATAAAAGCCCGCGGCAACGTGACTCGCTTTCTCTTTCCGCCTGGTGGTCGACGTGAGCAAACCTATTTGTGCATAAGCGCGTGGAAAGGCAAGTGCGAGTGTGGCATGGTTGAGTGTGGCATAGTAATGTAAATAATCGAGACATAAATCACCTCACTTATCGCTAATCACATTGTCACACTGAAAATTAGTCATTGATTGTCCATTTCGAATCTTGATAGAATGAGTAATTCACATTCATTGTAGTTTCTAAAGGTTGTTGTGCCGGAGTACGGTATAGTTTAGGAGAAACGCCTTTGTGAAGGCACTTCTTGTGAATAAAAAAGTGGGGCCCTCTATGAACTGCATCTACCCCGATGTTATTGTCCCCGTTTGTTGAGGCCTAAACTGACGCTTGGCTATGGTTGGCGCAATTGGGGTGCTACGACCAGGCAATAAACTGCCGCCATAACAGATCGGTGTCACCAGTACGCTAAAGGTAGACCACTCGCTGACGTGGGCTGGCCTGACTGGGTAGCAGACAACAAGAAAAAGAAGCGACCGCCACAATGCTAACACATGGGTAAGTACTGTACTATTGATGGCATTGTTGAGCAAAACTCAATTTACGGATGGCCCCAAAGTTGCCAATTTGAAAGAATGACAAAAATTCCAAAAAGACAAACTTACGAAAAAAAGAGAGAATATTTTGTGTACATACACTTACATTTTGCAGTTTACACACACTTCCTGAGTGATACTGGTTATGTATATTTCTGTCGTTATAGCAAAGAAGAAAAAAAAAACGTTTTAAGTACACATGTGCTTACAAAGTCATCATACACCATACGAATATAACGTTGGTAGAAATCCTCAATTCCGTCATAAGCCATATCAATTACAGATGCTTCAGTGTCACTGGATCCATATGTACCTGTAGCAGAAGATGCAACAAAGTCAAAACGGTTTTGAATGTTCCTCTTGTGAGACACATGTAAGGATGCAACTTTTAATCAGAACAATGGAGCTCTTGAGTGGTAAGGTCTGTCTCGGGATTGTGTAGAGAAATTCTGCTAAGCGAATAAGTGATTTATCACTGTGATTGTACTGGAGTAAACAGGCAGTCTTGCTTAAAAGAAAATACTCTGCCCAAGCATAAATTGAACTGAGAGAGCAACAATCAAGAAAAGTCAACATGAAACAAAAAGATACGATAACAAGAGAAAACAAACAACTATATATGATTGCTTTGTCTGCAATTGAAGGGGTTGAAAAGAAAAACATGAATACGTGAACAGCTCTTCTCTTAATGTTTCGTACAAAGTGCAAAAACAAAAATTAAAAACCTGGTGATTGCCGGGTCATAACATGTGGTACGTTTCTTCCCCAACAGTTTCTTCTCTGAAATGTCTCAAAACTATTTTGACATCCCTTTTTGGTTAATCGCATTGAAAAGTGTGTATTTGCAATTTTATTTTCATTTTATATTTTCCTGAGAAAGGGCATTTGTGCTGAGAGGCAATTTCATACAAAATGTTAACTTTAGGGGTTTTTGTTAAAAAACTGTCAAATTGATAACCCAAAAGTCGTTCATTGAAAATCTTCCTTGGAAAACGTTAGTGCAATTCTACAGCTAATTCTATACCCTTGTTATAAACAATAAATTTTCAAGAGCCTGCATGTAAATACTTTCAATCATTAAAATGTGCTAAAAATGGTAGGACACAAAAGCGCATTTAACATAATACGAGTAACAAGGTATGTATTTTGACAAATTTTGAAACATACTGCATCAATTCTTGAAGCAACTAAAAATTAAAAAATTGGGGGTAAAAGTCTATAAATCACAAAACTGGAGAAATTCCACCAATTATAATAGTCTGAAATTGATGTATGATTGCAAGTTATATTAAATATATGAAGATGAGGAGCGATATGCGTCCTGCACTACTGCAGTGTCTGCCTAATATCAGCTTGAAAGGGGAGTTGTGGTTACCGTAGGTACAAAACATTCTCTCATTTACAAATATAGTCCATTGGAGGAAAACTCTGGTAATAAGGATATTCATCCCATCGCGTTGTGGCATCGCGTCGTGTTGTTTCTTAATGCAGTCGCGTCGTGCAGGAGTGTCTTGCCGTTGTGACGTCTCATCTTGCCGTAGCAGAGTCGCATCGTCTCGTTGGAACACCTGTTATTGTATGGTTTTATACAGTGTGGGTTAGGCTGTCGCGTCCTGCTGTCGTGCTTTCGCATACTGTTGTCATACCATCGAGTCGTGTCGTCGTACCGTCGTGTCGTGCTGTCGCGTCGTGTCGTCGTCCATCGTATCGTGTCGCCATGCCTTAAAATATGGCTGGTGATCATCACAGCCAATAGACATGATAGAGGGCTTATGTCACAAGTCCTGTAAAATGTGCATGCCAAAGGCCTACAAGATGTAATCATGTGATCGCATCTATTGGTATGAAACTTAGCTCCTACGAGATGTAATCATGTAATGGTATCTATTGGTATGAAACTTATGTCTCTAAGGGCGCCCCTTATTTCCACCAGTAAAGAGGCAACAGCGAGAGCACAATGCGATTGCACGAATCAACAGCACGACGCGACGGCTGGAGGGTACAACGCAACGAGCGACGGCACAACGCAACGTAACGACACGGCACGATGCAACCTCACGACGCGACAAAGTCATCATAGCGTTGCGTCGTGGCCTGGCGTTGTTGCGTCGCAATTCTGTCGTCTATAGAACACAATGCACGCTACTGTTGTGCCGAACTCAAATAATTCAAGTAAATTTAAAGTTCAGCAGGGCAATAGCAAGGTCCTCGGCTAGGCAAATTGCATTCTGTACGGCAAGCCTTTCCACTCCACAGGGTGTGCCACACTATCGTTCAAAATGGTAATGGCACGATAACGCTTTACTTCAGTTTGGCGTTTAGTGCAACTGCCCAGTTATTGTCATGCTATTGCCGCGGTCATTTTAATTAAGTTCGGAAAGGCAGTAGCACGCCGTCTAGGTCTACTTTTGGCCTAAAATACCTCAAATCCTACCATGTTTGCGACTCAGATAACGCAGTATGGCCCCTGTCTGAACCAAATGGAAATCACCATCCCAGAACGCTGGTAGCTGGCCAAATGCCTGAAAGTAAGCCAAGGTGGTAAAACTAGAAGTCCAACCTTCAGCACAAAATATCTCCTGCCAGACTAAAGTATGTAGTTTAGCAAAAGCTTGCCGGGTTGGTTGTGTAAAAATAAAAAAAAACCCAAAAAACATCAGGCTGAATGCTTTTCTGTCATGTACACGACAAAACTAAGTTTGACACTAAAAGGGCTCTTGGCATGGAGCTTTGACAATAATGCAGGAGTATAAAGACGTTGCAATTAGACGTTAACATACGACATTGTAATATGTCAGAGCGAGTCGGTACATTCAAGTCTACACACTAATAGGGCTATCATGGCACGGGTACAACATACATTCTTAGCTGACGAAACAACAGATTCGTGGACAATTATTCATATAAATCGAAGATGATCGGTTTGAATGAAATACAGAATGATGTAGCATAAGAGAAATTGGCGATGGAAAGCAATACCCAGAGAGGTTCTCAAAAAGGCAAATCTGTGTGGCAGCTTTATAAAAATTCAGCTTTTGAGGTTTGAGTCGTCAAATTTAATTCGCTAAGTGGCGCACAGACAACAATCTGAGGCTGTATACCTAAAGGTGAATGTCATCAGTGCATGAAACTTACAGAGATCTGATCAACTGTTTGTATTTGAAACGTAGAAATGTAAATTGACAGCTGGACAAAAGCATTTTTACACACCACCGCTCTTCCATACTTTTGGGGGATACATGCGAGGTAATCATACTTCTTCACAATGGTTTTCCTGTAGTCTGGAAAACATCGCATTTTAAGTTTTGAATCAAGAGTGCTTGGCTGTTAGGTTGACAAATACAGCTTTACAATTTTTGCAATGCAGATCAAGTATTATTACCAGTTACAATTTATATAATAAAAAGGGTATGACTTTCAAGGTAAATCAACTCCCCTTGGTCTATAAAATGTGCACGTAGATTTTGAAATCTAATCCGCTAACCGAACGAGCCAGTTTTAAAAGGAATTTCTTTTACCAAATTTGCCGTAGGTTTCATGGCTAGCCAGTCTTTCTTGAGAACGATCTCATCGCTAAATGCAATGCCTTGGTCGTGTAGCAGCAGTCGGATCAGCTGGGCCTTGCCTGACATACAGAGCCAGGGAAATTGGGGTGGGAAAGTAACAGAAACTGATCACTGCAAACTTGATAAAGCTAATTCACTTTAGTTATTTTTCCCAATGTGTTAAAATATTCAAATTTCTTAGTGTAGTTCCCCCTCTGTATTTGTTTTTGAAACAAGTAGATTTAATTTGTTAAAAATTCCCCGGGGAAGTAAGTGAATATAGTTCCGACAAGAGTTCAGAGTTGTTTTGTGTAACGAGAAGGTACAAGCTCATATGTCAACCACACTAGTTTTTGGCGGTTTCTAAGAGTATTTAGTTTGCTATTGTCAAGGCTTATGTTCACTGTATCCTACAAGAATCACATGTTTTTGGTTGTTATGTTTACTCTTAGCCAGAACCTATACTTACTTTTTGGCATTTGGTGCGACTTTCTTCTTCAAAGCTCCGAATTAATCAGTGGATTTTGGGTTTGCCTTAACTCTTTTATGACATGTACACTGAATTTCCGTCTGTCATTTTAAAGCCACTTGTTAGAATCTACGGTACCTGACTGTGGTTATGCTGATATGGTATGCAATCAGTATAAAATGTTTATTGTAATCTTCTTATTCGATTATACGTGCATGGGCTTTGAATACAATAGGCATACTGCTTGCATTGTGCTTTTCGTTTTGCATTTCATTCAAATTGCTTTATGGTTTTATTTTGTCTTGTTCTCGAATTGTAAATATTTCGATTATATGGTAAAATCTGGTCTGCTATTCACAAACTGTGCTGACTGTGTCTGATTTTAGTCTTTGATTTAATTATCTTTAGCTATGAAAGTGTCTTTGTTTGAATTGTTTGGCTTTAGTCAGTTTAATTGGTTTCTAAGATTTGATTGGCTTTGACATATGTAATGAAGTCTGTTTATCATTTTTGTTCTCCTTTGAAACTCAGACGTTTGTGTCATTCGTCTCAATTATTTGAGATTCTTGCGACTTTTCTCTCCAGAGATCAGCAATTCATAGGTTGGCTTAAGTTTAGAGTTCGCTTTTGTGTCCCATTTTTCAGGCACAAAACTAAAATGAGTAATTTCACAGCAATGTTTGGAAAACACTTAACAACTAGCCAACAATTACAGAGATTGTGTCTGATTATTAGGTAAAAGGTTAACAGCGCAATGTAATAAAACGTACATGTAATTAGAACATTTTGGAATACCTTTGGGAAATTAAGACATAAACAAACTTACTCATGAAGGGACCCTACCACTTTACAGTAATCATTTACCCAAACCCTCCTTCAAAATCCATGGGGAAGTTTTAAAGAATTTGCAGGTCGGAAGGTCTGTCTGTAAATTGGGAAAGGTACGCCTTGTTGGAAAACAGCCCGATTTACATAATAGATTATGTGATGGAACGAGTTGCCAGGGCAGCTAATTCATGGTCGTTGAGTCCAATTCTGGTGTAAATGTACAATATCAAACGCGCCCTAAGGTGCAAGCACGAACCACACGTTCGTGACAGTTGCTGTCGGGACGTTGTTGAGTTTGCCACGCTGAAAAAGGTTCAGCGAGGTAAGCGGCGTAAGTTACATTGAGGGGGTTATATCTTGAACCTTTCAACCGATTTGTTGTTGGCCTTCGCTGGCGGAGCCGAAGTGCACCCGTTCTACTGAGCGAGTTTCCAAGTGCTGTGCTCACATAATTATTGTGATGTGCGATAATTAACAGGTTTATAGTGCAGAGGTTGATTCTGTTGATAAGCCTTCACTGTAAGGTGTTCTAATTGGGTTGATAAAGAGAGGTTTTAGTAATTTGCATAAAATTATTGAAGTAACCCTCAGACGCAAGAGTAATGCATATTAGTGAATCTATCTCATTATTTGTGTTGTATCCATTGAAAGAGAGGACCAGACTAAATCAGCGGAGAGTGGTGTACGTATAGCTCTTGTGTTTCCCTTCACTTTAATGATGTGACGAAATGGCTCATACAAGTTTAGGTTTCAGTTAAGATGACATAATTCTTATCTGCGTATACGCGCAGAGAATGCACGAGACCACTGTATTGGCACCCGTGGACATTAGATTTAATCTGTGAGTGATTCCCAATGTAAATGTACGTGATTAAGGCAGCGCGGGATTGGCACAAGTTTATGTTTTGTATAGATTGTGTCATGCCGCGCGCGATGTGGCCAGGGGCCAATTTCTTAGAGCTGCTGAAGCACAAATTTCCTTAAGAGCAAAAAATCTTGCTTAAAAAACAAAGGTTACCAGCTCAAAATCTACGTGATTGTCATGGCAACCAAGCAACAATACCATTCGAAAACAACATACATCACATGGAGTTTGGGCTGGTACTGTTCTCAGTATCGGTCAGAAAGGACCGTGGGTAGAACAATATTGCGTGGGTATAGTTGTGGGCAGAGTTGTCGAGGGTTGTCCGAAGGTTACCGTCTAGGAAAGTGGTGAACAACTGGGCAGCCATCGAGTGTCGGCAGACGCCCTGAGTTACCTGTTAGTTTGGGTTTTTTAATTAGCACTGGCAATATCCGCAGATATCTTGGGCGCAGTCACCCGAGTGAGGAATGCACGTTGCGGATAAAGGTAAGAGGTCGCAGAGTACGGATTGCGGATTGTGGATTATTGGCGGCACTTTGCGGAGTGAGGATTATTTAGGTGGTCTTTTGTAATTGTATTTTGTGTTATTCCTTTGTAATTTCTGTATAAAATAAGTAATTCCCATTGTGTAAATATAGTGGTTGTATAAGCTAAAAAAAAGTATGTTAAATAAGTCCAGTTGATCTTGCCGGTATAACATCTTGTTCACGCACATGCTCATTGTTGTGTCGGTCGACCGGGTCACCAAATCAATTACCAATCGGTGGTATATTTCCGCCAAATCCACCCCTAACCCCTGGAACTTAGATTGCTCGTCAAACACAAGCGCTAAGCCCGATAGTTTAAGTTTAGGTCAGGTGAATTGCCCCACACTAGGTAACAGTTCGCCCAGACTTGCGAGACCTAGGCTGGCTCGTGGGAATAAAACGCCACAATAACTTGTATAGGCAGAGAGCTCTTCAAGCCTTACTCGTCGGCAAAGTGCCGCCAACGGGTAGGCCCGTCCGAGGATAATAAATATTCTTGGGTGGGGTGGGGAACCACCACAGATACATACTAAAACGTAGAGTGCACTCGACAAAAAAGCACGTAAACTTGAATGGACCAGTAGGTTATGTTATATTATATTTACCAGTACGCTATAGATGGATTTCACATTAGCACCGTCTGTGCATATCCACATCGAAACCGAGGCTCTCTGTGTTGAACTTCGTACACATACTCCTGGTTGGAGGGAGGTACGTAGGGGTAAAGTGACTTGCCCATGTAAGAATATACACCTGCCAGGATTTGAACCTCAAACCATTTGATTGGAAGAAACCACTAGGCCACCTGTACCCCTCAATGAATGATTAATCCTAAACATCAATATGTGCATAACGTTGCCGGAAAGAATGATGTAACCTGTAATGGAGGATGTCCAAACGCGCAGCTCTGTGATCAAATGAAGTTTCACAGACCATACATGATGACCGACTCATTGAATCTGCATGGAAAAGGTGAACATACATTGCTTAAAGTTCGTCTGGGAGACGCAGTTCTCCAACTTTAGTGAGTGTTCAGAGCTGTTGGGGCGAAAAGTTGTCCGACATATTAACATACCTTTTATGTTGAAATACAGCAATCTGTACTGTGCCACTGTGCAGAAAACAATAAACAAAAGTTATTTTCTGTTTGGTCATGATATTAACAATTCGATCTACCGGCAAACGTTTACTTTCTCCAACATTCTGCTGGGACAACGTATTGCTAAGGATTATAATATGTGAGTAGCTTATCTATATGTACAGATTCCTCTAACACACCGGCTAAGTCGATTAACCCTCACCGCACTTGAACTCGTTTTGACTAAATGAATAAAACCCATTTTTCTATGCGTTTACCATACGGTGACAAACAACTGTACCCCTTACGTCAAAGAGGGATATGGCAGGAAATACACAGGGACAGAACAGGCATGGTAAGGTGATCCATTACATTGCTGTCTTTTACAAGCTTAATAATCCAGGACCCGCCTCGGCCAATGAGTGAATCCTTACGCCACGTCACCTGCTGTGCCTCTGCCTACTCTCAGATTGTCGAAATTGTTGACTTGGCTGGTCAGAAACCCGAGAAAACTGTGATACGGCAACGTTGATAGAAGACTAGCCCACCATTGGTGTGGCCTGGATATTACTGCGTCTTATATGTGCGCAGCACAGCAATTTCCTGGCCACACTGGTGGGGTTACTTGTACATACGGAAATGCAGTGTTCTTGGCATTAACAACAACATCATTACAACTTATCGGGGGAGGGGGGGTCTGAAGAATAGCTTACTTTTTGGGTGTTTCTTTCCACTGGTGTGCAACGTTCTGAAAATTATGATGCAATACGTCAAATGCACGGGCCTGGCTTGACCTGCACGTTTACTGCTGATATGCCTGAAATAACTTGATATACCCATTGCACGGTCTTGTCCAAAGACGTCAGTGATTAATAGTTGTTTCCGTTATTACCACAGAGCGCCCTCAGCTCTGACAACTGCTTTTGACTTTTTGCAAGCTAGTCTCTATCCAATATCTGAGGAATCTGATTATAATCCTTTGATTTAATGGTCCCGTATCGCCCACTATCACGTGCAGAAAAACAGATGAATTCACCCTTTTTCCAAAAAAGTTAATAATAATAATAATAATGATTAATTGTAATAATAATAAAAGAAAAAGATTGGTTACACGTTGCCGGCAACATTCGGTTATTATCGTTGATGGTTGGGCCTTTTCGGTTATGCATCTTGACTGATCTTGATTTTCAAACATTTGGAAACGCATTCAGTTACAGTGGATATATTGACGGCGCTGGTGTTTGAGTTATACGCTTAATACGGGCGAACATAGGCATATAAACGAATAGACCATCAGATCTTATTCAAAACAGAGGTATTCCATAAACTATGGGCAAATTTAAACACAGTTGAAGAACTAATCCTGTCTTCGCAGTGGATCTTGAGATGTCTTAGCTGGTACATCTGACCGCGCTGGAGTCTCTTGATGTGGCAACGGTATACGATGTAGGTTTCAAGAGAGTAGAGAAGGCAGGTGAGGACCACTGCACGGTACACCTTGCACTTGGTTGTCAGCCGGATGCCGTGTTTCTTCCAGACCTTAGACTGGAGCTTCCCATAGCTTCTGTGGCTGCACTGATGCGCCTCTCCTCTTCTTTTCCAGGGTGTTGCCACTGGAGACTGTGCTGCTAAGGTAGGTAAAGCTGTGCACAGCTTAAAGTTGGTTTCCGTCAAGAGACAGCTCTGGGTAGGCGTAGACAGTGTGTTGAGGAGGTTTGAGCATGACCTCAGTCTTTCTGGTGCTGTTGATGAGGCTGATCGCTTTGAGCAACCAAGTGGAAGGCATCGAAAACGGCTGGAGCTCGCTTCAGAGTGTGACACCGTGGCAGAGTCATCTGCACAGAGCAGCTCGGGAACACAGACGGTTCTGGTCGAGGTTTTGGCCTCAATATGGCTGATGTTGAACAGCTTTCCATCCAAGCGTGTACTGAGATGAACGCCACCATGCTGTAAACACATTTGTAGGACAGCACTGAGGTAGTTTAAGAACAGGGAGGGAGCCAACACACAGCCTTGCTTGGCGCCTTGGTTCAAAATGAACTGGTCAGAGAGCGTGCCGTTGAGGGAGACATGGGCCATCATGCCAGTGTGAAGCTGAGAGATGAAGCTGACGATGCCTTCACTACAGCCTCAGAAAATACCAAAGACACTCCATGTTCACTGTATCAAAAGCTTTGGTAAAGTCGATGAACACGATGTACAAGGGTACGTTCTGTTCGATGGCTTTCTCTTGAAGCTGATGCNCGGGTAGGCCCGTCCGAGGATAATAAATATTCTTAGGTGGGGTGGGGAACCACCACAGGTACATACTAAAACGTAGAGTGCACTCGACAAAAAAGCACGTAGACTTGAATGGACCACATGTACCACTAAATGAATGATTAACCCTAAACATCAATATGTGCATAACGTTGCCGGAAAGAATGATGTAACCTGTAATGGAGGATGTCCAAACGCGCAGCTCTGTGATCAAAATGAAGTTTCACAGACCATGCATGATGACCGACTCATTGAATCTGCATGGAAAAGGTGAACATACATTGCTTCAAGTTCGTCTGGGGGACACAGTTCTCCAACTTTAGTGAGTGTTCAGAGCTGTTTGGGCGAAAAGTTGTCCGACATATTAACATACCTTTTATGTTGAAATACAGCAATCTGTACTGTGCCACTGCGCAGAAAACAATAAAGAAAAGTTATTTTCTGTTTGGTCATGATATTAACAATTCTATCTACCGGCAAACGTTTACTTTCTCCAGCATTCTGCTGGGACAACGTATTGCTAAGGATTATAATATGTGAGTAGTTTATCTATATGAACAGATTCCTTTAACACACCGGTTAAGTCGATTAACCATCAACGCACTTGAACTCGTTTTGACTTAACGAATAAAACCCATTTTTCTATGCGTTAACCATACGGTGACAAACAACTGTACCCATTGCGTCAAAGAGGGATATGGCAGGAAATACACAGGGACAGAACAGGCATGGTAAGGTGATCCATTACATTGCTGTCTTTTACAAGCTTAATAATCCAGGACCCGCCTCGGCCAATGAGTGAATCATTACGCCACGTCACCTGCTGTGCCTCTGCCTACTCTCAGATTGTCGAAATGGTTAACTTGGCTGGTCAGAAACCCGAGAAAACTGTGATACGGCAACGTTGATAGAAGACTAGCCCACCACTGGTGTGGCCTGGATATTACTGCGCCTTATATGCGCTCAGCACAGCAATTTCCTGGCCACACTGGTGGGGTTACTTGCAGTGTTCTTGGCATTAACAACATCATTACGACTTATCAGGGAGGGGGGTCTGAAGAATAGCTTAAACTTTTTGGGTGTTTCTTTCCACTGGTGTGCAACGTTCTGAAAATTATGATGCAATACGTCAAATGCACGGGCCTGGCTTGACCTGCACGTTTAATGCTGATATGCCTGAAATAACTTGATATACCCATTGCACGGTCTTGTCCAAAGACGTCAGTGATTAATAGCTGTTTCTGTTATTACCACAGAGCGCCCTCAGCTCTGACAACTGCTTTTGACTTTTTGCAAGCTAGTCTCGATCCGATATCTGAGGAATCTGATTATAATACTTTGATTTAATGGTCCCGTATCGCCCACTATCACGTGCAGAAAAACAAATGAAATCAGCCTTTTTCCAAAAAAAGGTTAATAATAAAAATAATTATAATAAAAAAAAGAAAAAGATTGGGTACACGTTGCCGGCAACATTCGGTTATTATCGTTGATGGTTGGGCTTTTTTGGTTATGCATCTTGACTGATCTTGATTTTCAAACATTTGGAAACGCATTCAGTTAGGTGGATATATTGGCGGCGCTGGCGTTTGAGTTATACGCTTAATACGGGCGAACATAGGCATATAAACGAATAGACCATCAGATCTTATTCAAAACAGAGGCATTCCATAAACTATGGGCAAATTTAAACACAGTTGAAGAATTCCAGTCTCAAAATTCTAGGAAACCATTTTTCGCTTGTAAAAAAATTATCTTTTTAATTAATCTGGCCTATATATGTAGATTCAAAACAATACAGTTGGAACACTTGAAAAGTAGAGATAACAGTCTCTCACTCCCCCTCCCCCTCTCTCTTCGATGTCACTCCAGAGGAGTACGGCGACTTCGGCAGTGTCGTCCATGGGCGTACAGCCCAATGTGTTGAGAGCATCGTCTGCCGCAGTGGCGGCAGCAAAAGTAAAGGGTGCGCGTTTCACTATTGGCGACCGAGGCAGCCCTAGCAGCAGCACACTTTTGACTACGCTACACTGACTCCTCAGCCAAACGGTCATCGATGAGGGAAGCGGAATCCTGATTGCAAATCTCCACCTTGAACGGTCGCTTGCTCTGTCCTCCCAGCAGTCGACGTCCATGGCTCAGGCCTTCAGATGTCTTTTGAGACAGTTCTTGAATCTAAGCTCCGGCCTGCTTCCGCTTCTTGCGCCTTTTACTTGTTCACCAAAGAAGACAACTTTGGGAAGCCGCAAGTCTTCCATGCGGACTACATGGCAACTCCATCGCAGTTGACACTGCGTGAGTAGTGCCTCAACACTGAGAATGCCTGCTCGTTTTATTACTTCCTCGTCGCTAATCCTGTCTTGCCAGTGGATCTTGAGATGTCTTAGCTGGTACATCTGACCGCGCTGGAGTCTCTTGATGTGGCAACGGTACACGATGTAGGTTTCAAGAGAGTAGAGAAGGCAGGTGAGGACCACTGCACGGTACACCTTGCACTTGGTTGTCAGCCGGATGCCATGTTTCTTCCAGACCTTAGACTGGAGCTTCCCATAGCTTCTGTGGCTGCACTGATACGCCTCTCCTCTTCTTTTCCAGGGTGTTGTCACTGGAGACTGTGCTGCTAAGGTAGGTAAAGCTGTGCACAGCTTAAAGTTGGTTTCCGTCAAGAGACAGCTCTGGGTAGGCGTAGACAGTGTGTTGAGGAGGAGGGAGCATGACTCAATATGGCTGATGTTGAACAGCTTTCCATCCAAGCGTGTACTGAGATGAACGCCACCATGCTGTAAACACATTTGTAGGACAGCACTGAGGTAGTTTAAGAACAGGGAGGGATCCAACACACAGCCTTGCTTGGCGCCTTGGTTCAAAATGAACTGGTCTGAGAGCGTGCAGTTGAGGGAGACTTGGGCCATCATGCCAGTGTGAAGCTCAGAGATGAAGCTGACGATGCCTTCACTACAGCCTCAGAAAATACCAAAGACACTCAATGTTCACTGTATCAAAAGCTTTGGTAAAGTCGAATAACACGATGTACAAGGGTGCGTTCTGTTCGATGGCTTTCTCTTGCAGCTGATGTAAAGATGTGATGACTACATTGATCGGGATCTGGAACTGGGGAAGCCACACTGCGATTCAGGGAGAACTGCATCGAGGATAGTTTGAGGCGCTTCAGAATCACTTTGCCAAGCACTTTGCCAGCGGTTGACTGAAGTGAGATGCCTTTGTAGTTGCTGCAATCTTGCTTGTTGCCATTCTTCTTCAAGATATGGATGACGGCAGCGTCCTTGAACTCCTGTGGCACAGACTTCTCTTTCCAGATAACTGAGAGGGCGTCATAGAGAGCACGAGTGATCTGTCCTCCCCCATTCTGGTAGATCTCCACTTGGATACCATCCATTTATATGGCTTCGTATAGCCTGTCGCACTTTGAGCAGAGGATCGTCAGCACTGCGAAGCACCAGACGCTGAGCGATTCTGTCAAGAATCGCGATATCAGCGTTTGGTCTTTGGTTCAGGAGCCGGACAAAGTATGTCCATCGTTCAAGGATATCACCCTGTTCAGTCGAGGGGGTAGTGTCATCAATTGCAAGCAGTTCCTCCATGGTCAGAAATAGTCTTCAGTGCTTGGTTGTAGCCTCTGGTCTCCAATATCTTCTCTGGATTTCCTCAGCTTTCTGATCCCACCACTGGTCTTCCATGTCTCTGGCGTTGCAGTTCTACCCTCAATCTAGTGAACTCAGATCTGGATCTTTGGCAGCTGGGCTTGGAGAGACAAGCCTGGTAGGCTTTGCACTTGTCTTCAAGGAGCTATGAGATGTGGAAATCAGAGTCATCGAACCAGTCCTGATTCCTAAGCTTTGGATGCCCCAGTACTTCTGTAGCAGCTTTGTAAAGAAAAGAGCTGAAGTTCTGTCACTTATCAGCGGCAGCGGAGTTGGTAGCAGGAGAGAAGTGCCGACAAAAGGTAGTGGAAAGGTCTTCCCTAGCACTGGACTTCTTGAGTCGACTAACGATGAGCTTCGTGCTTGGGTCAGGGGCTTATCTATGTCTAAGCCGGTGATAGATGGAGACCTTGAGTCGGTATCTGATCATGTAGTGATCAGTACCACGTTCTGTGCCTCTCATGGTCCTAGTGATGCACACGTCCGGTACGGGTCCTGTTTTGGCCTATCAAACTATAGTCCAGAGGATGAGCGTGTCCAGATCTTGGTTTTCTCAATGAGAAATGATGAGCAGCCACAATGAACAGGGTGTTGGCCACTGTGAGTGAAAACTCGTTGCACAGTTGCAGTAGGAGCTCTTCGTTGCTGTTTTAAGATCGAAAACTGCCGAGGACTCTTGGCCATACATCTTAGTTGTGTCCGACATTGGCGTTAAAGTCTCCAAGCACCACAACTGCATATATCTGTGCAGGGGGTGTTCTGCAACACTTCTTTGGGTTGAGAGTAGACAGAAGCTGCGCAGAGTCGTTAGTCATCGTCGGAGCATACATACTGACCAAGGTCATGTGTGTGGTGGGGGAGATGGCAAGTCGTAGCGTCATCAGTTGGTCTAACACTGGGCGAGGCATCTAAGTCAGCCGGGGGAGCAACCGATTAGCAATGGCAAAAAAAGTGCCAGCAGTGCCCTAGCTGTAGCTTTGATCCATGGGGTTGCCAGACTAGGAGAAGGTGTGGATCTTCTCCCTCCTTTCTCCTATGTCTGGGAGCCTCATCTCTTAGAGCGCAGCGATGTCCACGCCTAAAGCATCGAGCTCCTTGCCAAGGAGAGCAATTCGTCTTTAGCGGAGGATAGTGTTGTTGTCAAGGAGGGTTTGCACGTTCCAACATGCGATCTGAAGCTTTGATTTGCAATTTCACCCACTGAGAAGGAAAACCCGCTGACCGTGGGAAGCCAGCCAGGTTGATTGAAGGGTGAGCTTTTTGTACCTCACGATTTCTAGAGGCGTCCGCGGATTGGGGCAGGCTGGGCATCCCTTGAAAAAGGCCGCCTGGTCACCCAGGAAGGACCTCACAGCACTATCACCCGTCAGAAGCTGTGCAACCATCACTCCTGGCAGCAAAAAATGCAAGAACTTTCTACCGGCTTCCAGCTTCTCAAACTTTCTGGCAGCACAAGAGGTCTTGTCGCTTTGCAACTTGGAGTTGCCGAAGTAGCCTGCACAAAAAAATAAGTGAGGGAAGCATAGTGCGGGTACTCTTCCGTCCTCTGGGTTATGTGGCGGGAAATCAAGCGGCATGAAGAAGATCCAGATAACTTGGCCAGCAACTTGACTGCCCTGCAATATCAGACTCACGAAGCTGATAATCTTGGCCAGCTACTTCTTCGAGGATGTAAATTAAAACTACTAAGCTTATCAAAAATTCATTCAGGCCTCAAAAAGCCAAACCCAATAGAACTGATCCCTTGATTGTACAACTTGAAAGAGTATATTTTCTTGATCAAGCATCATGAGCTAACCAACATATTTAGATCCACTTGGATGCAGCAAATTGATGGACAAGGAAATCACACGTGCATCATCTCAGACTCATTGAGAGTTGCACTACAGAAACACTTACCTGTTGTTGAATTTGACATCTGCGGAAGGGAGACACACACACATCTCACTGGGATACTATGTTTTATTCTCTTTCGTTCGAGCAGAAGTATGACCTGTAATTAGAAATTATTGTCTTCGATGTCTGACACCAGCCCTGTTTCATTCAAAGACATAGAAATAACTTTTCTACATGAAGTTATTTTGAGCCGTTCAATTTCAAAGGCTACAAAAGAAGGCACTGAATACATTTTTCAGGCAAATTACGTACATTATAGGCTGTATTTAAGATTATCACCACGGCTGAACCATCCAGTGCGAGTAAAAGTAAGAAGATTTCTTCTTCAGCTTCGCTATTCGAAAGAAGGTGGACGACAGAAGTAAAAATTCAAGAAATGGGTCGCTGGTAACAGCATATGGAAATTCATGATTCTTCATACAGAGTTCACTGAAAACCACTGTCCAAGGAAAGAAGACCCTCAATCATCAAAAGCAAGGAAAGCAGCACATAAACACAAAGAAACTGTGATGCGGCAAGTATCACCATGCCCTGTTACAATAGCACGTTGTATTGACCTTCAACAGTAGAACCGCTTTCCAAGTAATGAGACTCAATGAAGGAATGGCTAGTGTAACCACAAGACTCTTGTGGAGGAAAGCAGCGCTGGACTGGAAGGGCCACTGAGGCAGTCCACCGGCCTTATAAGGAGAAATCAGTATTCATTAATTTGACTAGTCCTATCCTCAAATCCAAATGAACCAAACACATTCATTCACGCTGTTTTAATATTCAAAGGACTAGTAGCCAATACCTAATAAGGCAAGGAAACTTGTATGGTGGATGAATGAAATGTCCAGTAAATGTATAAAATCCATATAAGACCTGACAATCAGGCAGAGAGCCGCACATCGAGCCAGCTGAATAAACCACATCAATTACGGTACAACTTTGTCCCAAGACATTTTTTTGTGTCGAGTCATATAACCTCTCGGGTTATACAAGTTACCATATTAATACAAGAGATCACAGCTTAATTTGTTACACTCATACAGCAGATCCCATGGTACAGACTAGAGACAGCCTTACCCGAAGACTGCAGATGCCTTGGAGGCTGTGGCCTGGAAGCTGAAGAGGTAACTGTGAGAAATCTTAAAGACGGTAGTTTTTGAGACATTTGATTTCATATGGTGGCTTTAGTAATTGCCCTGACCAGATTAAGCATCTTGCTTTTATGAAAGACGTTCCATTATTTGTTTGGAATTCCATATCTGCCTTCGTGCATCGCACGTCGTGCGTCGCCCGTTTTTTTGTTTGGGTGTGGGTGTGTTTTTGGTTATGCTTGCGCAGTGCTATTTTCCACTTTACAATTGATCCTTTCGTGTACTTGTTCAATCGATCCGCCATGCCTGTCTGTCCTTCCACGATATTCCACCAGATCATACCCCCGGAAATACAACTTTGAACTAAATGTTTATAATAGATTTCTTACAACAGTGATTCCTTAATATCTTTTATAGAACTAATTCAACATTATTTTGAAGGCGGGCATACTTCAGATGAAATCTGCTGTATACTCAAATTAGACATAACTTGAGTTGCACGTAGGAACACAGAAGTCTTTTACACAGTAATGTTACTTTGTTAGCCCCATAAACAGTGCTGATGTGCTGGACTACCTGTGCTAATTGGCCTATCCACCATGGCATACACACCCACAAAAACTAACACGTCATATTTGCTTAAAATTAAACCAAGTGATAATTGCCCCCTAAAACTCAATAAAAAGTTACTTATCCACAGCACAATTGACAAAAACAATTTGCTGTCTAGTTTATGTGGATTCAAGGTGAAATTGAGAGGAAAAAATAGAATGTATGATATTCTGGTAGATTTCTTTCTGGAATTTCATGAAAACAAGTTAGCACATTTTTATCCCCGCATGCACACGACCAGAGAATTGAACTCAGGGACAGGTGGACACTCGCATTCCAACGTTTTGTCGATTAGCCTGAGCAGCCGTTTGTTGAACTTCACACAGTTCAGGTTGTTCCTGCCCAAAGCTGGTGACACGGAACTGCAAAAAAATAACATTGCGCACAATCAAAGTATAGCTACTCAGCAATATATGGAAATAGTTCCCGCCCGAAGCTGGTGACGCGGAACTGCAAGTGTATCTTACATAGCGTTTTAGGCAAAGTGTAGCTATTCGGCAAAAATTAGAGAGACTGTTCCCGCCCGAGCCTGGTGACGCGGAACAGCAACACATATCAGCAAAAGTACCGGTACCATGGCAATCAGCAATTGTCAGCGATTGCTCACGCCCGAGCCTGGTGACGCGGAACAGCAACTCATATCAGCAAAATACATAGAGCTATCAGCAAAAATGTATGAAAAGCAATTGTCATATCAGCATTTGTTTCTGCCCAAAGCACACGGAGCGGTAAATTAATTTTGGAATGTACCTGCGCGGTACGAAGCCTTCGAAATGCAAATTCAAACAGCAATTACATCTGGCAGAATGCAAAATTACCAAACTTTCATGAACAAATTAACAAGGATTTACTCCAGCATACAATAACTTTGGGCCAACCATCAAACCCTGGGATCGGACAGCAATTTCCACGAGGTGCGGCCCGACTTGGGCTTGCGCTGGGTTGCTGGAATAACGGGCAACTAATGAGCATTTTCAACAA